AGTCACAGTCTACCACACCATCCAATGATTTCCAAGATGCCTCACTCCTCAAGTCTGCATGGAACCTTGTTTGTGACTTTGCCTCAACAGACAAATACACGCTTCCAGGGATCGAACAGGCATTGCAGAATCTGCTTGGAAACCAATATGCTGATGCTGACTGGCGTCCTGCTCTTATGGCCATTATGAATGCAGAGAATGACGTTGGTAAAGCACTGGAGGCAGTCAATCAGTTGGCTTCTTCATCACAGTCAAAAATGAACACACCTCCCACCCAAATTGCCCCCATTCAACAGCTCCAGACAGCAGAGATAATGTTGAAGGACCATCTTGTCAAATTGAAACAATGAAATTGCATGTTTGGTCTCATTCCAACTATTGGAGAGATGGTTAGCTCTATTGCAGAAGAGTATACTGAAGATCTTGAGGTGATGCCAACAGATGAGGAGATTGTTGCTGCTGTCAAGCATGATATTGCAGTAGAAAATGGGGAAATAACTGTCATTGACGATGAGGAGGAGGAAGAAGAGGAAGAGGAGGGTGAGGAAGAACAGACCTTGATAACTACAAGGGAAGGATTTGAGCTTATTCAAAAGCTGGAGGCATTTTGTGTTTCACAAGGTGACCAGGGTGGATTAGTACCACAGCTGAGGAAGTTGAGAGGGGCATTATTCAAGGAGATGCATGGAAAGCTGACCCAAAAGCCACTGACAGCATTTTGGGGAAATGACGACGTTGTCACATAAAGTCACATGTCACATCACGTGCTATTTTGGTTCTGCATAAATCTATAAATGCATACAGTTTTGGTGTCTCCCGACCATATGCATTGTGAGATAGTCAACTGTACTTTGAGGGATTAACCTAGGCCGAGAAAGAAAGGGGAGAGCCTGGTAACTATGACAACTCTTCTTCCGAGTCGGCGGCAATTACAAGACTTCTATGTATGTATCTTTACTTCTTGGTCGTGCTTCTTGAGTTGATAAGGCTTGCGGGCAGGCACGAAGGCTTCGGTTTTTTTTGTCGATCTTAACATCATTTGTATGGTCGGGATATTCCAGGCATTTATTCTGCCTAATGCCTCACAAATGGAGGAAGACGAAGATGACAAATAGCGAGCTTGCATTCAACGTCTTTGATGTCGATTGTCATTGTAGCCTTGTAGGATGTGTGGGGCTATGATTTTCTCACTGAAATTGCGACTTTAACTGCATGTATATTTAAATGCCCTTATGGCGACATAGTTCAGACAAAACAGGTATAAGATAAACCCGGAATATTGTCCAGAATAATGCTCGACAGCTTAATGTTGACGAGCATCCTAGTTAGTAGAGATCGTGAATCTGACAAGAAGAGTTGCACCGGAATTCTTTCCGGTCATATCCAGCATTCTGATGAATCGCCACCCTTGTTGCAAGTGAATCAAGCGCGCACAGAAAACTACGATCTTGACATCCGTGCCAAATTCATCATGCTTGATGCAGAGCCTAAATCAAGTTGAGGAACCTCAGGCAGCAGAACAGAGAAAACCAGGAGCCATACCTCACAAATGCAAGCTCATCGATGTCGAATTCCCATTCAAATGTCTGGTTCCACATGATATCGGCGCCCTGCCCTGGAACGCCCTCGGCTCTGATGGACCTTGACTTCCACTTCTTATCCCCGCTGCGGTGGAACAGTTGTGCGCTGACATGGGCTTTGTATTCCTTTCCTTCGCAATCATTCGGAGGGGGTAACGAGCTAACTCCCGCGATTTCTCCGATGAGCTTGATTTTGCCGTCCTGCGGATACCCCAGGCCGCTGGGTTTTTGAACCCAACCGCCGGTACCGACAAACATCCCTTCGTTGAGCTGCATGCTACGGTCGTAATGCTGCCAGTTGAGACAGGCGACGTGGGTGCCGTTACGCCAGCATTTGAGAACATCCATGTTGGTTGAGGTGATGCGGGTGCCTTTTGGGAAAACCCGACGGAGATGGTGAAGTCCATGGTCGATGAGAGTCTCAAGAGTGTGGGGAAGGAGGCTTGAGATGGAAGACTCGGAAACGTTGATGAGAATGTGACGCGGCTTGGCGAGCCGCTCGTGTTGCCAGCCAGATTTAGGTTTCATGCTTCGGGCGTAGTGGCCAAGCGATGCGAGTTCGGGGGATATTTTCGTGCAGTCATCAGAGATACGTGAGCCTTCTTCGGAAGATAAATCAGACGAGGAAGATGACGAGGACGAGTCGCCCGATGAAGGAGGATAGTATTCTACCATCAGGAGGATACGTCCACGGACGTCCCTGGGAGTGACTATGTCATCATAGATCCCTTCGAGCTTCTTGTCAACAAGCTTGTGGCCCCAAGCGCCCTTCATGACACGGACCAGTTCTTCCTGGCCTTGAACGTCGACATGGCATTCCAAGCTGACCATGACGGGCCAGTCCCCAGGTTGGACGGCATCTCCAATAGCTACACAGACACTTTGGAACGGCACAGACTTGCTAAATGTATGGCCGTGGGTGACAATTAATCCGTTCGCACTAGGCCAGACATCGATTTCCACACAACGCCCGTTCCGAGACAGGACGTGGGTATAGGAGGCAGGAGAAGAGCGACCCACTAGCTGACGAGATAACAAGTACGTGTTATGAGAAGAACTAGAATTTTGTTTAAGTCAAAGGCTCTACAGGGTCTGTCTTGGCTCGCTTACGAGATGAAGTAGTGGGTAAGGGGTAAAGAATCATCAACCAAAGGAGGCTTTATAACGGGAATTTGTAAAACATGATTGGTAGACTGTCGGACCTGATGTCAGCAGTATTGTGTCCAAATATCGTATACAGGCTCACCTCTCCTTCATTTTCCAAGAATTGTTCAATTTCGGGACTTAGACGGACCGTAGTATTTTGAGGTTCAACGTTATGATTGGAATCGACGCGATATACATGTTCAATTTGCCGCCATTCTTCTTCCTCCATCGTGGATGCGATGCGGGCTGTACAGTATGTCTTGGATCCAGTGGTGTAACTGAGTCCCCGCGCAGCCTGAATCAGGTGACGTAATGCTGTGTCAGCAGACCTCGTTAAATGTCCGCAACTCGCTTGTTAGTGGACCACAGCATTCCCGATGGCGGACACAAAAGTATGGTCATTTCTTGGTGATATTTTCTATGCTCAATGTTCTTCGTAGGTACCGAATACTGCAGCGAACAGAGTAGCAATGTCTCGTGCCCTCGGTGCTGCATTTCTGAACCACCAGGTTGAGCAGCTCGAGAAGACAGTCGTGTCGAACGGACCTGCCTCGGGCAACTGGCGGGACAGGAAACAGACATCTTCTCACCTGGTGGCACCGCCGCACAAACGTGTTGCAAGCTCTCCCAACGGAAAAACCAACAATCGGAGGAGAGGGGGGGACGTTCCCAGTGCGCCGAAGGAGAGAGACGCCGGACCTCGTGGTGGCAGGAACTTCGACTCCGTGCCCCCGAAAAGGCGCTTTGCAGGTGAAGAGAAGCATGAGAAGGATGCCGACGTTATCATCGTCGATGCTAGCGTTCTAATCCATGCCCTGGACAATTTGAAGAAGTGGTGTAGGAACGATAGAGAGGAGGTCGTTATTGTGCCCCTTGAAGGTGCATTTACTGACATCTATCATCATCATTTAAAGCTCATACTTTGTCAGCCTTGAATACTCTTGATCTTCTCAAGAAAGGGTCCACCATGCTTGCTCAACGAGCCAGAGCCGCATCCAGAATACTCGAGGCCCAAGTCGGTGTCAACCCTCGCATTCGAGTCCAACAAGATAATGCATTTGTACTCTGGGACAAGATTTCCTTCAAGGAAGGTAGTCTCTCCGAAGACTCGATTACGGATGCCGCAAGCCACAGCCCTCATGTTTCTCCGGAATGGGTCCGCCGCACAATTTGCAGTGCCCGTTGGGAATCCGAGCATGCTCAGGACACTACTCCGTCCTCGAAGGTCGCCGATCCAAAGGTCATTGTCGCAGTCTGCACCACATCCCAGAGCCTCTCGCCTCCGCTGGTGCCCGTGAAGCTCTCCGAGTCGCCTACCGAGTCCGCTCTCACTCCAGTTCCACTTCCAGCACCCACTCAACACAACTACAACAAGCATGAACCCCGGTCTAGTGGGTCCCTTGTGGCTTACTGGGCCGCACGCGCGGGTCTCGAAGTCATTGATGTCAAGCCTACTGCCGCCCCTACCCCGAACGGGAATGTTCGCAGCTCTTCCGAGGAGGAACGTCCGAAGAGGATTGCTGTGAATAAGGGCCGTCGGGGCCCGGCGAACATTGGCACCACTGACTTCTCCAAAGGTGGACTGGTTGAACGATCACCTGCCGTCTTGGCGATGATGGAAATGGTTTCCCGGCCTAGCAAGGTCGTGAGGGTACTCGCTAGAGGTGAGAAGTTAGAACCTGACCCGTAGGGATACTGAGCGGAACCAATTCGCTTTGCCGGAGCCGGTTTACAACTTTTCGTGGCCTGGTAAGTTCACAGCTACACCCCTTTTGAACTGAACTTGACGTGTGCACTTTCCAGCTGAGACTGATTACAGCGGTGCCTGTCTTCTCTGTTCTTTTGCCCTGAAGGTTATGGTGTCGCTCGCAATACGATACGGAGCATCTTTCTCGGATCTCAGGTCGGGCCGTTTTCTCCATTGGAATTTGGTCTCAGGAACGGAGAACGCACCACAAATGGATGATGTAGCCAGCGGTACATACCTCCCTGCTCCGAACGGATATCTGTGGATTGCACTCGATTTATGTTGGGAAGAATTTCTGGCGGACTGTGAATATGACTCTCCCACTAGTTACCTCCCAGTCATCTCCTTTTTTCTTTTCTCGTCTATGCCAATTTTTTATTTCCTTTCCATGGTTCCAGATCTTTACAGTCTATCAAACCTTATCTTGTACGCATACGAATATTGATTCTATGAGGAGCGATATTCGGTGATACCGCGTTTCGAACAATCATGGTTTGTTTTTGTGGGACACGGGTGGAAGATTATGGTGAGTATTTCGTTTGGTCCATGCAAGAATACTTTGAAAATTGATATCTTTGTTCTGCAGGAAGCACATCACGTAACCAATGTTTGTACAATTCCATCGACCACAAAGGAAGACGCCTACGTTTCCGGATAATGAAAACAACAGCATTCGAACGTATTTAAACCCTGAGCGTGCCAGTGACTACCACATTTTCCTCTCATGAATTCGTCTCAATCCATCACGATCCCCTTCGCTGCTGCATCGGAAAAGAATCGTCGACCACCTCCCGAATTCGTCGACATCCCTGCAGACCATGCCAGGGGGCGGGACTATCCTCAGACACAAGGATTCTAACGGTGTCATTTACAATGAAATCTTCAATCCTCGAGATCCGCTGCCATCCACAACAAATGGGCGCCTACGATCCTCGCCTCTTTGTACGGTGATGTAGACATCGGGCCCACCGACTACGAGAGTGAAATGAAGAGACTTGCTGATGTTCAGGTATCCTGGGTACGTCACATTCTTATGTTGCTTGAATTCACGCTGAAAGCCACATGCTACTTAGGAACCCCCAAGCCCACGAATGATGTCTCCTCTCGCATGTTCCCCTTTACCGATAGTCTTTGGATCCGAGTGTAGGATCCCGATATGTTTCGCCTCCCGGGACAACCGAAGACATCCTTTGGGTTGGATTTCGTGAATGAGAAGAGTGAACCACAGGCCATTGGTGAAAGAATCACTATCATCGTTGGACCAAGGATGCCTGATGGTCCCGAGCAAGAAGGAGACATCGCCCTCTCTATGGATGATATGGGAGTTGAAGATCCTTCGCATTATACGAATCTGACGCGATATGGGGTTACGGGGGGTGGCGAATACAAGTTTGTGTATGAGGGGGTAGAAAAGAAGACATATTCGTTCCCTGGGAACTTGTTGGAGGATGCAGCGCCCCAATCTTCTACCGCCTAAAAGTCAGTTTTCTTTGGTGTTTTCCTTTCCCCGTTCTAATTCGAGACGACAGCCTGAAAACTTCCCTGAAACCGCAAGTTGAACGCGCTGTTAACGGTTATGTAACAACAAACTATCTCATTATGCCAATATTTCTTCACCGCTGTCTCCCAGCTTTCCACTGGAACCAGAAAGTCACCAATACACATATCCGCTTCAACGTCATAACTTATAAGGATCTGTAGGAGGTGAGGGTTCAACGTTCAAGGGCCACACAAAGCGCCTGAAACTTGCCCAAAATCTGCTTCGAAAATAGGGAGAGCCCTTCTCGAGAAGGACCAGCCATGGCTAGAGCGTGATTTAGTGACTGCGGGACTTATACTGGATGCAGCAACGGACGACGAGGAAGAAGTAAATCAGTGCAGTACACTTCTTCAGGCTGTTCTCCTTCAATTGAACACTGCTGAGGAGCAAAGTTCCTTCAAGTATTCGGAATTATCCCGAATGGTCTTAGAAAAATCGCTTAGGCTTTCGATTTTCCCAGTACGATTGGAATGTCCAGGCCCGGAAAATGCAGTTGAACGCGGCGACATCCAAGTATCATACCGAAAATCTCGAGCCATTGTTCCATGAACTCGAAAACATCTCTGTGTCCTCCGAATTCCAGGCCAGTATCTTTCTTGTTAAGAGCAATGCGGTATGCCGCCTGGTCGCTAACACCTACCAGTCACTGATGCGACGAGGTCTCCGTATGAATGATCAACGGATGTTCTCAACTTTCCTCGAGTATCGAGAGAACTTGAAAGCTGGCCTGGCCCCGATGCTCTCGGAGCTCAGGTCGACGACGAAGTGGAGTTCATCTGCACCAAGTGGACTTCTACACCTCGAGGGTGTCAGGGAATCATGTCAAATTCGCCTTGTACCAGGCATTGTTATCGACCCTGATGACCCCCACAACGGCTCTGGTCTTCTGACCGTGAATATCACGCATTCCGGAGTCCTGGATCACGCGATGTCCGTGTACAAGACGCTGGATGTGGCGGATGTGCAGCAGTTTGAGTATCATGAACAAGGAAAGGTTCATCCCTTGTTCTACTGCTCCGCATGTTTTTATTGATACAAGTGTCATCAGTTGAGCGCGGAGAAGACTGTTTATCGGATTTCCGACACACCGTAATCAAAGAGTGCGACATGTGAGACTGATTCAAATTTTGTACTACTCTTTCAATCGTCGAGAAAAACCCCCCGTATAGAGTGCTTATACAACTTCAATGCATCTCAGAACATCCGAGAGAGAACCTCACAGGCATGTAGCTCAGTAAAAGTCCTATATTGTTATCAAATTTCGACATATTCCAGTACCCCAAGCTATTGAAGTAATCAGTCTTCCGAGTTCATCATCTTTGCAGTCAGTTAACCCCGACACGATTTAGGCAGCCATCGCCATCAGCCCTACACCTAAACCAGCGATGACCATCCCACCCGAAACACTATTTTCGAAGCCGGCACTTGTACTGGTGCTTGTAGTGGGGGTCGCGACGGAAGAGATTGAACTATTCACGCTCGATGAGAAACTGCTGCGACATTTATCAGTGTGCTTTCTTGCCCCTGTGAAAGACGCACGATGGAATGACTCCGCTGCCACAAAGGTTAGTTAGAAATGTAGCGCAAGACGGTTGGATAGGTATTCTCTACCTTGGAACAGACAAGGATACAGTGGCCATGGGATCGGTGGTCGTTTGCCCCGCAATTTGGAGAGGTAGGAGGACGAGAAGGATGAAACCAGTGAGGAGATACATAACGATATCGTTGTAGTAAGACTCCATTAGTGCCAGATTTTATACTCGAGGGATTCTACCGTGACGTAACGAAGTTATTGTCGCGGGCGTACTAGACGAAAGAGGCAAGGCGCGGGTCACCAGTCACTGTAGGGAGCTCTGGTGAAACAATCCGGGAAACGATAACGGTTCGTCGGTGAAGGCTTGTTAATTATAAGACCTCGATACTTGAACGTTGAGGCCGCATAGAAAATTGTGACCTTGGCTTTGGCTATGTTGCTGCTGACTTGGGCATCATCCTCTTGTAGTTTCAGCTTTATCAGCATAGAAACAGGAAATGACGAGGACAAAGCGTTCATGGCCAACATGAAGGATTCCCTCTTGCTAGTATCAAGATATGCATCCATAACCAATGTTAAAAGATGCTGTGAGGGTGGCGCCGAGGTCACCGCTCACATGAGGAACTTAGCACAATCGTAGACAGGTTTATCGACTGTTGATTGCGAAAGCCCGACCCGGTACAAAGGAACTAGCTACGTTATATACGGGTTCGGCGGTAAATCAAATACTAACTCGTAGGTAAATAAGGGTAAGCACAAGGTCCCGGGGCATCGACTCGTTACAGATGGTCCAGTCCGGAATAGCAGTTGGGGGAAATCCAAATCAATTCTACGCCCTTTGAATTTGTTCAATGACAACCTATACAAAGTACGTCCCTCTTGGGAAGTCCGTCATGCATGATGGCTGGCGAACGGAACGGCGTTTGTTAAAAGCAAGTGATAGATCCGGGGTAAGATGGGCGCAGCTTCGGGATGGACGGGCCACCTTGTAAATATTCGAACTTCAACGTCCAAGCCCATGGCAAAGAAGAGAGAGCCCGACGATTCCACTGAAGGTCCAGGTTCCAGACGAGTGAGACTGGCTCAGCACATTTTTCTTATCGCCGATGAAGCTGAACACTGTTTAAGCCTACTGTAGCCATAAGTTTTCTGAAGCGTCAGAAACGATTCTCGAAAACCGTCGGGTCTTTCGCTTTTCCTCATATGACTGGGTTTCTTTTGTAATGCGACTCGGCCCTATACAGCGTGCTGGAAAGTATTTACTCGACTTCCGAGCCCGAGGTCCTTTAGTATAAAGGATAGGGACTATTACTGAGGAGCAGCCGACGATGATGGTCTCGTGCTTATCGGGCATGTAGATTCCTCCGGTGGCAATGACAGAACCACAGGGAAGTCAACTGTGGGTTACGTCTTCACGATGGCTAACAGACCTGTCTCGCGCGCGAAAAAGTAAGTAGCATTGTCGACGACTGAGACTGAATACATGGCCACGGTACATGGTAGCAATGTTGGCGTTCAAAACAAAGGATGATGGTTCGCAGTTTATCAACAACCCTTTTCTATTGAATATTTTTCAAATCCAGGCCAAAGTTCCCGGAGACTCGGCTCCTCTTTCTCGAAGCATGGGCTTGACAACGGACGGGAACGGGACCTAGGCTATGAGCCGCTGACCCTTGCTGTAAGTAAACGGTTCAAGTAACCGCCTACATAAATGAAAGCCGTTTTTGAAATTAATTCGGATATTTACCGCAGAAGACCCAACGTTCAGTTTATCAGTTTATCGTTAGAGACTTCCAATGATTGGATCATTACGAGTCATCTGCACAATCTTCTCGGTGGAGGCCCAGCGGAGGTCACATCATGAATGGCCGTGTTGCAATGTCTTGTGGTCTGCATCCGTTCTCATTTCTTCCAGCTGTTGCCAGAGAGTGCTTCGGCCGAATCCGCCACGGGCTCGACAAGAGGCTTGGTTCCAAAAATTGATTTGGTCACAGCATGTATTGTCAGGACCGTGCCTTTTTAACGGACAGCATGGTTTACTGTCAGGTTTCTTCCCTCTCCCTCGTGTAATATAGTTACTGTGCCTTATGGAATATTAGGTTTGCTCCAAAACGATATGATAGCTAGGGATCATCTCGTCGTAGACGCCGTCGAATGATTAGTTCAGGTTAGGTCGGAAACGTTTCCAATATTCCGTGTCTTGGGCAGGATGAGGCTGATTAGACATTCAGTACTTGTTAGAACAGAGATGGTCAGAAAGCATACAGCATTGCTAGCGCCCGAAGTATCTAAATTGGAAGAAAATAAACATCTGACCGACAGTGAGACGAAACGAAACGTACGAGCTTTCAAACACCTGAAGTAACCCCCCCTTAATAGAACCATGTGTCCCTCCAGGAACTCCTTGCCGTTTTCCCAGAACTTTACTTGGGTGGTCCAACCAAGAGGGGGGAGGGTCATCGTAAGTAGAAGATGCAATGCAAAGGGGGGAAAATGTGTTCGGGCATTTAACAAGGTACCTGACCGGTTAAAGCGATAAACGGCAAGCTCTTTGTTGGCTGGAAGGGGGAATCATATGGTAGCATTTAGGATCCGTGAACAGGGAGCGTGCGCCCACATAGCAAGATTTTAAAAGCCGACCGGAATTGTGGCGAAACAGTAGATAGTGGAAGATGCGAGACTCCCCGACTCGGAGATATTTGCTGAGCAAGCATTCCAGCAGTTGAAATTTTATCAACAAGAAGCCCGGAGCCTTTTCTAAACGCTATTATGTTGATTTATGCACAATTCTTGGCGCTTATTCCTGAGCAAGGGTTGTAGTTCACCAAGTTGCACTGAGCTCTCCTTCTGTTGACTCTTTTCACTTTCAGTCATGAGCAGGTGTCTTGGGCTAAGTCCTTGGAGGCTTGGCTCATTTTTGTCGAAACCACAATTGAAGAAGACGGACATCAACGAGACTTGCATAATAAGCCGCTGACAGAAGCATCAGCTCAAGCACTTGCTTTTAGTGACGGTTCAAGTGAGTGACTGCGACTGAAGCCATCATCAAACTCTACCATTTGTTTAAGAATACCGAACGTTCGGTTTCTCGTGACGAATTCCGAGGATTGGGTGGTAGCTCACTTACACAATCCTCTTGATGGCGGGGCGCCTGAGGTCGTATCATACCTCTGGAAAACGCGTGGAAAACCGTATGGAAGTATGCTGTGCCGATATGAAGCAATAGACTATTGGAGAAAGGATGTAGGGACTATCTATGCAACGTTGTGTTGGATTAGCAAGCAGGAGCTCCGTCGTATCTCGCCGGCCAAGCTCGATACCCCTTTATGTCAGGATGGACAATATATACTGAATACCATCTGTCGAGCACCCTCACCGCGTTTCTGCTTATCGCTACGCTGTGTGAGGGTGAGTATCTACTTCTATTACTTCGTATATCTCACTGACTAGTATCCTGTAGTTTCTACATTAAAGCTAACAGTGTATTCTAATAGGTGCTACGAACGCGTGTCACTTTCTTAGACGTTGATGGAATGGGTACGTCCTAATCAGTAATATGTGATAATCACGGGTAGTATTTGACTTCAACCTACCTGATTGGACGAAAACACGAACGTATCTGGCGGTTGAGGGAGAGCGATGAGACCCTCAGGTAGTTATAGTCAGATGAAAACAGAGACACGGCGTGCTGATGAGCGGTCGACGTCTGTGGGGAGAAGGAGGAGATGCTGGGTAGCATAGTCTTTTACTTGGATAAATCTCTTTATGTGACTCGGCATGGCGGAGCTGCCGTCTGTTTGACAAGGCTTCTCGTATCTTCGTATCTTCAACAAGTTTCGGAAAGAATGATCGGTCGCGGACTAGTCTTTTTACCTTTACCTCTCAGATTCGGGGATCCTATCCTTCATAATGGTCCTCATGAGCACTTTGCAGCAATTTCGCGAATACTGGTGGGGAAGGGACGACTTTCTCATTGCCAACACGGTTATACATTTTCCTGCCTTCCCAAACCATGTCTTTACCTTCTGCGGCTCCCAACTTGTAGTCCACAAGGATTACATCTACCTCTTCGAGCGGCTACAGACCTTTTCTCAGTATCAAAGGAATTACTCGTGGGGGAATCGTTCTGAACGGGCATCGAGGTATCGGAAAGTTTATATTCATCTTCTACGCCCTCGTCCGATGTCTGCAGGAGTCGCGGGATGTCATCTTCTACTTCTATCATCAAACTGTTCATTTCTCAAAAGATGACGTCAAAGAAGTAGGCCTCAACCATGACTTGATTTACACTCCTCCATGGTGTCTCATGGACAGTTACAATGGAGAATGTCCTCCGTCAGAACTCGTTAAGCACGGTTATGTCTTGCTATATATCACAGCGTCTCTTACCTCGTCTCTGTCGACACAGAGATGCCCAAGAAACACCGTATTTTCTCTACAGAACGCTTCAAGTCGCTCACCAAGCGAGTAAAGTGGAGACGTCGACAGGCAGACCTCTCTCCTTTGCACGAGTTACAAATCTCTATCGAGAAGCCATTGCTACCCACCCCGACGGAAGAGTACACGACTGTACCTCCAGTTATCACTTACTGTCTGGTCGACCCCGTTGAGCTAACATCTTCCCCATCACCGCATATTAGTCTTGACCTCTGTCAGTCATTTTCTCCTCTGTCAATGATCGTCCACAGGACGATCGCTTTTACACCTTGCGTCGAGAGGTGTACAATTTGGTCACACAAGACAGTGAGGTGAGCTTCTCCAACTAATTTTTCTGATCAAAGTGCTGATGTCTCTCATCTTGCAGCCAATGGCCCATATGTCCACCTTGTTATTTAGAGACCTCCGGTTTTCCGATCCATTATGGTGCTTGGCTACTAGTTCCCTTCGAGTTGTTGACGAGACCGAAGCATTCACTCCATCAGATACATCTCAAAAGGTGCATACCACCGCGCCCGAATCATCCTCACCACTTTAACATAGAACTCTTATTTGAAACGACCCAAGGTGAGATGCTCCAGATTTGGTGCCAGTGAAGTTCCAGCACATTGCACTGTCATTTGAGTCAAACAAGAGACTGACCACACAATGTTCAATTGTCAGATGTTTGACCATGGTGGACAGACTGCCCAGAAGTTCAGTAAAGTTTGCTGAACACTGAAAGCCAACCAATGAGTATCTACATTTATGCACATTTGAGATATTACTTGCCAAGCATCCATATGTCAATTTGGAATGCAGAACTGACCTTTTGTTTTTGTTTTTCAAGTTTGTAGCTTGCAAGCCACATCTATATGTCAATAGCCACAACCTAAGGTGGCTTCCTTAGATAATGCTTCATGATGTGTTGGATCACATGCTAATCCCAGCTTCTTCTCAAGCATCCTTCATGTCACTCATGTCCCAAGGTGGCATCTCTGCAGATATTGTGGATATGATTATTGACAATGTTTATCATTTTCATTGGCCTGATGACAGTGATGGTGGTGACCTTTCAGAGCTCAAATATCAATGCCACTCCACTTTAACATCATGTTCTTTGGTTTGTATGACATGGCTGCTATGCAGTCAATACCATCTTTTCTGAACCACAACTATATCCTTTGCTAATCATGCAACTTTTATGCATCTTATTGCCAGTCCACACTGCTCTTTCCTTGGCTTCATTCATATCTTAATTCTCAAGGATCTTGAAGGACTGAACAATGACAACAGTTATTCTAACATGTCCATCTTTGCCTGCAATTTAGTGAATCTTTTGCTCTTCAAGACTCCTTCAACCACCATGCCTTTCATATTACCCAACATCAAGAGGCTGCATATAACCAATGCCCCATTCTCTCTTATTTCAGAGGAGAACTTTGACACTTTTCTTCTTTTTCTATCCAGTCTCACCAGCACCACACACTTAGCTCTGAAATCATACATTTTCCATACTCTGGACCACATAATCTGCATTCTGTCATCATGCAGAACCTTGGAGTCTGCATGTTTAGAATATAACCTGTGTATGGAAAGTCTGCCTTCAGAAAAAACAACTCCATCCTATCTCCCTAGACTTCCTGCTTCTTTATCATCTTTGCTATTTATTGTTGGCCATGAACTCAGCTTTATTTCTAAAAATCATTCCCATTGCTGGTCTATCACTGAAGCATTTGAGTATGTCTTTGACTCCTCAATATACTGTCCAATCATATGTATCATAATGATCTGGATTAAATTGCACTGATATTTATCATTTTCTTTGAGTAGATGCAGATACACTCTCTTGCAATGCAAACCTTGAGTACAACACAAATCTTGAATCTATCATATTTAAATTTGTTCCTATAAATAATGCCTTTAATAACATAAGGAACTGCACTTGACACATCCCTGAAATGCTTTGAAAAATCATGTCTTCCTCTATCAACAAAATAATCTTGACAGTCTGAATGGTGTTTGTGGTCCACTTTGATAATCTTGATTGAAAGTCCATTGTTGAAACTCTGAGTTGGAAGAACTACAGGAATCTCAGGAGGTTTTCAGTTCTACAGATGAGAAAAAATATGATGGATAAGTCAAAGGAATGGATCACTCAAAAGTTAAAGCTGATGATAGACAAGAATCTATCAATCAAAATTGTGGTCTGCAATGAGAGATGTGGTCAGTTTGTAGAAGGGTGCTTTGGATGGTGATTCAACTATTGTGTACTTATTAACAAGATATTATTATAACTGTTCTATTATCATACAGCCTCTAAATTTTCTCTATTACCCAGTGGAATGTCTTCATAAGCATTGTGCCTCCTGAAGTTTCTACCAATACAAATCCTACTATGTCTGATGGCTTTATATTGTATCAAAGTTTCAGTATGTTTTATGAAAAGACACTTTTAGTATAATAGCTTTTTTAGTATGAGTTTGTGTTATGATTTTTCTGCTTTTATTCTTTATGTTCACAGTATTAACCCCTATTCACACTTAGTCAGGGCACTTATACCAGTGCTTAGGACTATGGAGATGTTTTGATCAGCACAGCCATCACCAATCTGAAACACAAGCAACACCTCAACAACAAGACAATTGGCCTATTGTAGGTAATCATGATACTCTAGGACAATGAGCATTATAGCACAAACACTTACAATTAGTAGTACTATATTTATCAAAAGGATAAATGGTATATAAGTAGCATAGCCAGCACTATGTATCCCTAGTCTTGAACTATTCTTTATTCTATCACTTTACCTCAAGTCAACTACTTGTATTGATCTTGGGATATAACAGCTATAAACATATTATTGGACTTAAGCATAATTGTACAAACACAATACAGTGCTTACTTACTATGTGTTCTAGCTCACATGTCACTTGGATCTAATAATTAGTTTGAGACTTCTAATTTCCCTTTCTTTATGCCTATCATGAGTGAAGAAAACCAAATACCTGCCATCAACATTACTACTACTGATCTCACAGACAAATTCTTTAAGCTACTAGCTTCTATTATTGGAACACTTTTAGGCTTACTTGTGATCATCACTCTTTGCTGCAGACATCAATCAGTTACAGCTTGAGTAGTCAGGCACTACCAATTCTTCCAACAAATCCAACAGATCCTTAGAAATATCACTTCTGACCTCTCCCTCTATAATATCTCTCCTTCTGCCAGAGTCTCCTTCCAGCCTGAGGCTGGAACTGTATCTGAAGCCAGGTCTAGCCACCCAAATGAAAGGGGCCTTCAAAAAGAAGAACTCTGATGACCAACCTACCTTTCTCAAGCAGCTAGCCAATGCAATGAGTATCTAAATATGAGATTCAGAAACCCATGGGTCCTGCCACACCTCTCTCCAGTCCCTGATCATGAGGACAAGAACCTCTCCAATGATTTTTTTGAGGAGTCACCATCTCCTGACTCTTCCACTGCTTCCCATGAGTCTGGCATTGGAGACCATGCCTGGGACTCCATTGATGAGATTGCAAGACTTACAGAAAGGGGTTCTAGATATGTCACTCCCTGAGAAAGCCCCAGCTCTCCAGCTCCTAGTCCCATCCCCTTGACTCCCAGCAATCTCTATGACCCAAGGATCATTGAGCAGCTGATGGATGAGGAGAAGAGAAAGCTCAATCACCAGCAGCAGGAGGATGATAAAAGATATTACAATGTATAGTATAGACAATGACTCAGAGAAGAGCAAGCAGCAGAGTAGGACCCTGCCCCATCAGAATATTATAAGCTATATAAAGGTGAAGAGGGAGACTTATACTATGAAAGAGAAGAAGGCCTATTCCTAAGAATCTCCACTGATGAAGCTCAATAAATTGGAGTTGCAGACTCACTGCCCCTTAGCTCAGACATCAATGAGCCCTAAGAGTGGCCCAAGTGGAGACCCAACAATGAAGATGACTCCTGGTCTGCAGACTGGTGGGCCAACACTGAGATATATACTGCAGATGAAGTAAGATACCTTGATAACAACTACAAGCTTCCACTCTCTACTTATAAAGAAAGTACCAGAAGCAGCAGCTCTCCCCCTTCTGACATCAGCTCTATACTTGAGGGGTATAGAATCTGAGTTTCTCTGAGAGCCAGAATTAGTCTCTGAGCTCTCTGACAATTCTTACATAGACATATCACTATCCTCTTCTTCAACAATGACTTCTACAATGACTTCTGCTGATATAATGAGGGAATAGAGAGAGAGAGTGGCAAAGAAACAGTGAGACCAAAAGACCTAAGCCTTTCTGACCTGACTAGCAGTCTACTGCTTAAACTAATAGAGAGCTCTCTAGTGACTATTTGATCTTCTGAGCCAGTGGCCTATGATCAGCCTGATGCCTCTCTCAGAGAGAATAGAGGGAAGGGGGAGGATGAGAGAACCAATGAGGAGAAGGACCTTCCCAAGATGATTGACCTCTGGGTAGGGTATAGAGACACCAATGAAGAAGAACTGGAATGAATAATTCAAGAGACCAAAGAGGAGGAATTCAAAATGCTGTACCAAGAAGGGACAGCGACATTATGAAAGGAAGTCAGTTGGCTGATGACCCCTCTGGATAGGAGGTACTCAGTCACTGACACTGAGAAAAAAAGATACATTTTACAATATGCTGCTACTGATTGTGCCATCTATATTTATAACAGTATGCACTCAGAAAACCAATTAAAGAATCTATTAGCCTTCCATTATAAGGTGCAACTGATGCCAAACACTCTGCTGATACCTCCACAATGAGCCATATATATGACACTATCTATTGGCCCATATAGCCCAAACTCTAAGAACTATTATGATCTATCAGATTTCAAAATCCCTGGATCAACCAAGGAAGCTGACTCCTTGCCGGGGCTGGACAGACCTTGACCTCTGAACCAACTGGTGATGATCCTGAAGCCATATGACTGAGATTCACTATATGAGATGGGCAGATCATATGAAAGGAAGCATCTCCTGAAGAGAGTTCTATTATTAATGATCACTCTCTCTACTCCTTCTCCAGCCCCCCTATAGAATAGAAACAACCTCCATTCAATAAATACTCTAACTCTATGAGGGCCTTATCTCTGAATGCCACCATGCTGCAATGTAAACTCAATCTCCTATGCATCCCTTGTCTCTTTAAAGGAGCCTCTAATGACATTAATCAGTTTCTTGTTGACTGCAAACAGTACTTTAAGGTATACACAGCTTATCTAGGTTCTGATATGAATAAGGTAGTCTTTGCAGCATCCTACTTTAAAAGCAAGACAAAATAGTGATGGATCCTCATTGGATCCACCCTTCATTCCAATATCTGCCAGCACCACCAATACCTATCCTGGATTGTTTTTAAACAAATAGTCCAAGATAAGTTTATTGACCTGGCTATCTAAGAAGTTCATAAGAACAAGATGAAGGAACTTCATATAGGTGATAAAATTGCCAGTAAGTACTTTGATAAACTAGAATGACTCAGAATGCAGACAGAGGTATGAGAAAGTGTCAATGATGATGGATGAATGATTGAGTACCTTAAAATAGAGGTACCTCTATCCTATATCAGTATGATCTCCAATATTAGCACAAACATTCTAAAGAGCTATGAAGCATGAAAGGTCTAGATTACAGAGATGAATAAAGAAAGGCTGTGACAGAAGACAGCTAGTGCTGAGATTATGATCAATCAGAAGAAACTCCACCAGATGGGAAATAGAAAGAACATTGGAGGATCCTCCAAGCTCAGTCCAACTATAATTTTGACACCTTTCTACACTACTCAGAAGATAGACACTGAGACAATATACACTGGCACTGGCAAATCCATGG